CTGGGGGGGTGTGGAGCGCGGGGGGGGGGGGGGGGGGGCCTCTGCAGCTTATCTGGCTGCTTCTTGCTCTGACTGAGGGCTTCTGGGAGCAGGGGGTGGGGCTTGTTGCATGTGCCCGCCCCCTGGGCTCTTTACTGCCGGAGTTCCGCTCCTGTGCGCTCCTGTGTGCTCCTGCAGGAAATGACCCCTGGCTTCTCCACTTACAGTTCTTAGAAGCTACTTAAGGAGAATGATACCGAGTGATGAATAAACAATTAATAATCCGCTTATCTGTATAATATTTCGTTTGTGAACTCGTGCATTATTTATTGTCCGCCTTTCTCACCGACACGCAAGGTGGGTTACATAGTGCCGTGGTATCTTTTAATGCGTATGATGTGGGTGGAAAGGCACCGTGACTGTTATTACAGGACTAATCCGGTGGCGTCCTTTTCTTATCTCTTTCAGATTTTTTGGTGAACACTGCCAAGGCTGATCTAACTTTGAAAGATAAGGACTTGAATACGTCTTTGCACTTGGCTAGCAGTAAAGTACGTTTGTGAACTCGTGTGTCTCTGTGCATAAATACACATATGGCTATCAAAAAGATGACAACAAAATATAGAACATAAGAGAAACCGATTGCATCACTTGCCCCAGACCGAGAGTTCCTACTTATACCTTGTGGCTAATAGCCACGGATGGACCTCTGCTCCGTATGCTTATCTAATTCCCTCTTGAAGCCGCCCATGCCTGTAGCCGCCGCCACCTCCTGTGGCAGTGAATTCCATGTGTGAATCACTCTTTGGGTGAAGAAGTACTTCCTTTTATCTGTTCTAACCTGACCGCTCAGCAATTTCATTGAGTGCCCACGAGTTCTTGTCTTGTGAGAAAGGGAGAAAAGTATCTCTTTCTCCATCTGCTCTATCCCATGCATAATCTTGTAAACCTCGATCATGTCACCCCTCCGTCGTCGTTTCTCCAAGCTAAAGAGCCCCAAGTGCTTTAACTTTTCTTCATAGGAAAGTGTTCCAACACTTTTATAATTCAAGTTGCCCTTTTCTGCACTTTTCCCAATGCGATAATATCCTTTTTGAGGTGTGGTGACCAGAACTGTACACCTTAGTAGTTTATCAGTGTGAGTCACAAACCCACTGCCAGCACGGACCTCCAGGAGGAAGAGTCCAAGCTGCCCCACTGTTATGGAGTACCTGGCTGAATGGGAGGGCTCTGTTGCATCAAGGCCCGGGGCTAGGAATCTTTGTAGTCGTGCAGTTGAATGGTTTATATGATATGATCATTTCAGTATGAAATATTAAAGATGTTTTATTTCATATGATTCTTATCTCAACAAACTCTTACGTTAAAAGTATACACAATTTTTAATGAGGTTATTCATGGTTTATCATATAACTGATAAAATTGATAAGACAGGATAAAAATGTTAATCTATCATGAGAAAATGGTAGAATGTTGAGTAGGTTGTTATAGTGTTTTTTAAAGTTATAATGTTATATGATTTTCCAAAAAAATTCCAAGTCTTTGAATCAAGGAATCGGGGCCAGAACTCCAGAAGCCCCCGCCCACTGTGGCCCCCCAAGGACCATAGAACTTCCTTATTTAAGTTTGATAGCCTTTCCCTGCACTTCCCCAAATTCTGATAGCTTGTGTTATTGAGTTAGAAATAAGTTGCAAATTTGGGGGGGGGGCGCAAATGGAGGGAGAGGTCTGGAAGTCCTGTCTCTTCTCTTTCTCTCTTTGTTCACATACACAGATGAGCACTTTCTAAACCTTGTTATGTATTCCAGGGTCATGAAAAATGTGCCTTGTTGATACTTGACAAGATCCAAGAACAGAGCCTTATTAATGCGAAAAATAATGCATTACAGACGTAAGTATGAATGGAATGCACTTCACAAAATTCGCACATCATTTTAGATTTTCACATCCCACAAACATGGTTTCCCCTCAGTTTGTGTTCTTTTTGTTTTGAAGCATATTTAATTTTTTTTGCAGAAACATTTTTATAGTATAGTATAGTATAGTATAGTATAGTATAGTATAGTATAGTATTCAGGATGGATACTCTTAAATACAACAGAGCTGGCTGGACGGATATATTCTATTTTCTAGGCCTCTTCATATTGCTGCACAGAATGGCTTGAAGATGGTGGTTGAGGAGTTATTGGCGAAAGGGGCGTGCGTACGAGCCGTGGACGGAAATGGTGAGTGAACCGACCCATCCTGTCTTTCATTCACGATAATTGTAAGGCATCACGTTTTGTGTTACGGGATTATTTGTAAAACACATGCACAAATTGGTTGAGCGATGCTAATCACTGAAATAAGTAACTCGGACAATTTCCTAAGCAAGAAAAGCGGTCTGACGTATTACGACTCATTTTATTTGACAAGCCGGCCCCCTTGATACAATTTTTTGCATGCGTCGTGGGGCTAGCAGTCATTCTTTAATGTAATGAGGGTTCGGATTTTCTAGGTGTCCAAAAGGGCATCAGAAAATGTTGACTTCTTACATTTGAGAGTCCTGTGTTAAATACACCATTAAAGCATGCTTGGGAGAAAAACCGTCCACATGCATCCTTCCTGACTCCTTCTGAGATCGTACCATCTCCCATTCTGACCACACCGTACATGTAGTAAGCTACTGGCCCCCTGTGGACTTCTGTGTTGTCAAGTGCCGTCAAGCCCTAGTTAACTTATGGCAACCTAGGCTTGCCAAGTCCCCCCGGGGGGCGGGGAAACCCCCGCCCCAGAGGCCCGTTCCCCGCTGCCACCGGATCGGGCCCCGGGGGGAACTCCACCCCGACGTGCACGTCACCAGGAACACCAGGACGTGCACGTCACCATGCCGAGAACGCTGGGGGCGGGGCCACGGTAATCCAAGGGAAAACTCTATGTTTTCCCCTCGGATGGTCGTGGCCTTGTCCCCAGCGTGCCTGGTGTGGTTGCATCACTTCCTGGTGACGTGGATGCGGCGTGCGCGTGCTTTGTGTGCGCGCGCGCTCCAGGATCAACCTGGGAGTCCCCCGCTTCAGGACGAGGTACGACTTGGCAACCCTATGGCAACCCCACAGGGTTTTCAAGGCAAGAGACGAACGAAGGCGGTTTGCCATTGCCTTCCTCTGTATAGCGACCCTGGACTTCCTTGCAACTCTCCCATCCAAACACTAACCAGAGAGGGCCCTGCTTAGCTCCCAAGATCCGACGAGATCGGGCTAACCCGGGCCCCGTGGACTTAGGTGCATGGAATGTTGCTTACATACAAGAGCTTAATAACACCTTTGTCGCAAGTCTCCTCCAATTTCCATCTCTGAAAAACATTAAATTTACTTTTGCTCAGTAAAAAGATAAGAGGGCAGTCACGGAGGGTCTTGATTTTTTTTTTTAAACAATCCAAGGATGGCATCTACAAGAATGCACCCACATTCTTGGGACAACTGTCAGGAACCATGGTTAGAAAAACTGAATCCGGCCGAACCCTAGTGCAAAGAACATACGTTTGGATGCTGAGCTACCTGTAGGCCTGCTCGCAAGCTACAGTGAATGAACGTACAATCCATGTACCATGTGCATTTGACTGCCCTTTGCATGTGCGTTCAGTAATGCTCCTTTTAATGGTCAACGAATGTACAGGTGAACATGTGCTGCAAACCCCACATTCGTCTAGGTGCTGCTTCCTAGTTTCATTTGTAAAGTGAACACACGTTGGCTCCTTCTCACAAACAGATGTACACACGTACAGGCAGGATGTATGTGCATTCACTGTAACATGTGACCTTTGCTTCTATGTTCATGGTAGGCACTTTCACTTAGATTTGCCAGCCCCCCTGGTGGGAGTGGGGGAACCCCTGCTTTTGCAGGCTCTTGCTCACCAGGGGGAGTCCAGCCCCCAAATGACATTTTCAGGCCTACTTCTGGTTTCAAGCCTACTTCTGGTTTCAGGCCTACTTCTAGGGTTGCCAGGTCCCACAGGGGGGCGGAGAAACCCCTACTTGATGGGTCTGATCCCCGGCGGCCCGGATCGGGCTGCCGGGGGAAACCCCGCCCCCAAAGTGCCGGGATCGCAGAGGGGTGCCCGGTAGGGCTGCCAAGTGGGGGCGGGGAAACCCCCGCTTTGGAGGCCTGATTTCCGCCGCGGTGGAATCGGGCCCCGGGGGGAACTCCGCCCCCTGAAGCTGCATCACCGAAGGTGACGCAGCCACATCGCTCACGTTTGGGGCGTGGTCCAGATCGTCAGGGGGAAAACCATATGGTTCCCCCCCCCGACGATCTGGGCCACGCCCCCAACGTGAGCGACGTAGTACATCACTTCCTGTGACGTGCTGGTGGTGCGCGCGCACACACACATCCTAGGAGAGCTCCCAGAGCCCGGCAAGGCCCCCCCACTGGCAAGGGTAAATACACTTGGCAACCCTAGTGCCCGGCATGATGATGTCACCCTTCGCACACGCACCAAAGCCGGGACTCCCCCCGCTGCAGCCAAGGTAGGACTTGGCAACCTTACCTACTTCCGGTTTCTGTCCTACTTCCAGTGGGGGTGACGCTCTGGTTGTTGGACAAAGCAATGGCTTGAAGCCAAATTTACCGTAGAGTTTTGCCCCAAAACCAGAGTATTACCCCGATAGGAAGTAGGCCCGAAATCAGAAGTAGGCCCGAAAATGCCAAGCATAACTTCCGGTCTTCCAGAAGACATCAGGAGATCCCTGCTGGCCACGTAAGTCAACCTGACAACCCTGCTTCCACTCCTGTAAGGCAGCATTTGCCAATTCCACCTTTCATTGATGGACCCCCCCCCATTTTGACTCCTGGCGTGTTTTGGGGGGCCCAGTGGAGTGGGAGAGGGGAGGCAGGAAAATTACGATTTAGACTTCACCGCTTTTCCAAGTCATGATGACGTATAAATAATGCTCACTATTATTCTCATAAATAAGACTTCTTGTGGGTACCTTACTGTAGCTGGTGTACAAATGGACCTCCGTCACATTGACGCCACCAACTACCAGTCCATGAATTTGCCTCCCGAGATCCAGTTTTGCACATAGACTGCCAAGTATTCATCCACCTGAGGCGTCAGAAACCTCAGGTCAATACCAAACTTTCATTCAGAGCACTGTGTGCCGTTCCAAACCTATCCCTGCATTGTATGCATAAACCTAAAGCTGTTTTTTTGTTTTAAGAAAATGGAGTTGTTGAGCTTGCATGGCACTTGGTTTTCTGCAAAATGTGTTCTGAGATACCTTTTATTTTTTTGCACGAAGCAATTAATTCATATCAGGAAGCTTCCCCCCCCCAATATTTCTGCATGTTTAATAATGAATCTTCCTATGTGAATGCTAAATTTTGTAGCTAACGTGATTTTATTAACTGTAACTTGCAAACTGCACTGTGTGAATCACAAAAAGCAGGCTGCAGCAAAGTAATAGGACTTATTACACGGAGTTAATGAGCAGTGTTCCCTCTAAGCTGAGTTAGTGCAAGCTAGCACCGTTTTTTTTAGCCTCCGGCTCCCACATTTCTGTCTCTGCTCAAGAAGGATGGTTCCATAGCAAACTAATTTATGCAGTAGCCAAATGGCTCGCTCACCACTTTAATGCCAGGGGCTCACAAAGTCGAAATTTTTGCTCCCAAGACTCCACAGCTTAGAGGGAGCATTGTTAATGAGTGTACCACTGATAAGTGGAGGATGGGGAGCATATATTAATATTGTGATCCAGTTTGGTGCAGTGGTTAAGTGTGCGGACTCTAATCTGGGAGAACCGGGTTTGATTCCCCACTCCTCCACTTGCACCTGGCTGGATGACCTTGGGCAAGCCGTGGTTCTGATAAGAGCTGTTCTTGAAAAAGAGCCATTTCTGCCAGAGCTCTCTCAGCCCCACCTACCTCACAGGGAGTCTGTTGTGGGGAGGGGAAGGGAAAGGAGTTTGTCAGCCACTCTGAGACTCCTTTGGGTAGTGAAGGGCGAGGTGTAAATCCAATCTCTTCTCTTCTTCTCTTCTTCTACTCAAATTGTGGGTATTCTTCCACCCGGAAAGCTTCCCGATTACTGCTCATAGTTGACAGTTCCTCGCCATAGACATGCCTTTATGTTGGTGCGCCTTCATGCCCTGCCCTCTAGAGTTGTGCAAGGAAGGTATTTTGACAGACCATCCTCTGACCTAGTACACGACTGTGGTGCAGGTGGTGTAGACACCCCGTATCACGTGACCTCTGAATGCGATTGCTTTTCTGAGCCTAGAAATCTTTTAATTCTCCCTTTGCTCCAAAATATAAGAGAGGAAGAAGAAGAGATTGGATTTATGCCCCGCCCTTCACTACCCAAAGGAGTCTCATAAGAACATAAGAACATAAGAGATGCCAATGTTGGATCAGGCCATAGGCCCATCCAGTCCAACACTCTGTATCACACAGTGGCCAGAAATACCAGTGCCATCAGGAGGTACACCAGTGGGGCCAGGACATTAGAAGCCATCCCACTGTTGACACCCCAAAGCACCAAGATGACAGAGCATCACTTGCCCCAGAGTCCCTATCTATACCTTGTGGCTAATAGCCACTGATGGACCTCTGCTCCATATGCTTATCTAATTCCCTTTTGAAGCCGTCCATGCTTGTAGCTGCCACCACTTCCTGTGGCAGTGAATTCCAAGTGTTAATCACTCTTTGGGTGAAGAAGTACTTCCTTTTATCCGTTCTAACCCGACCGCTCAGCAATTTCATGGAGTGCCCACGGGTTCTTGTATTGTGAGAAAGGGAGAAAAGTACCTCTTTCTCTACCTGCTCTTTCCCATGCATAATCTTATAAACCTCAATCATGTCACCCCTCAGTCGTCGTTTCTCCAAGCTAAAGAGCCCTAAGCGCTTTAACCTTTCCTCATAGGGAAAGTGTTCCAACCCTTTTATCATTCGAGTTGCTCTTTTCTGCACTTTTTCCAAAGCTATAATATCCTTTTTAAGGTGTGGTGACCAGAATTGCACACAGTATTCCAGATGAGGTCGCACCATTGATTTATATAGCGGCATTATGATATTGGCTGATCTGTTTACAATACCCTTCCTAATAATCCCCAGCATAGCATTGGCCTTCTTTATTGCAGTCACACACTGTCTCGACATTTTCAGTGAGTTATCTACTACAACTCCAAGATCTCTCTCTTGATCTGTCTCTGCCAGTTCAGACCCCATCAACGTGTATTTATAGTTAGGATTTTTGGCTCCAATGTGCATCACCTTGCACTTGGCCACATTGAACCCCATTTGCCATGTTGACGCCCACTCGCCCAACTTTGACAGATCCCTTTGGAGTGCCTCACAATCCTCACTGGTTTTCACCACCCTGAACAACTTCGTATCATCCGCAAATTTAGCCACTTCACTGCTTACTCCCAACTCCAAATCATTAATGAACAAGTTAAAAAGCAGTGGACCAAGTACTGATCCCTGTGGTACCCCACTGCTTACACCCCTCCACTGGGAGAACTGCCCATTTATACTCACTCTCTGTTTTCTATTAATTAGCCAGTTTTTGATCCATAAAAGGACTTGTCCTTTTATCCCATGATTTTTGAGCTTACTTAGGAGCCTTTGATGAGGAACTTTATCAAAAGCTTTCTGGAAGTCAAGGTAAACAATATCTATTGGATCCCCCTTGTCCACATGTTTGTTCACCCCCTCAAAGAACATTAACAGGTTAGTGAGACAAGATCTTCCCTTACAGAACCCATGTTGAGTCTGCCTCAATAGGTTTTGTTCATCTATGTGCCTACTAATTCTTTCCTTAATAATGGTTTCCACCAATTTACCCGGTATCGACGTCAGACTGACTGGCCTGTAATTTCCCGGATCTCCTCTGGAACCCTTTTTAAAGATGGGAGTGACATTAGCTACCTTCCAGTCCTCAGGAATGGAGGCTGATTTTAAGGAGAGATTACATATTTTTGTCAGGAGATCCACAAGTTCACATTTGAGTTCTTTCAGAACTCTCGGATGTATGCCCTGGGCCTGGTGATTTATCAGTTTCTAAGTTGTCTTATCAGTTTTAGGACCTCCTCTCTCGTCACCTCAATCTGACTCAGGTCTTTCAACACCCCTCCCGAACTCAGCGACTCTGGAGTGGGCAAGCACCTCTCATCTTCCACAGTGAAGACGGAGGCAAAAAATGGCATTCAGCCATTTCCCTATCATCCTTCAGTACTCCTTTTACCCCTTGGTCATCCAAGGGCCCCACTACCTCCCTGGCTGGTTTCCTGCTTCATGTGTATTTGAAGAAAGAGCGGCTGACAATCTCCTTTCCCCTCACCTCCCCACAACAGACACCCCGTGAGGTAGGTGGGGCTGAGAGAGCTCTTGACAGAAACTGCTCTGAAAGAACTTATGACTGACCCAAGGCCACACCAGCAGCTGCATGTGGAGGAGTGGGGGCATCAAACCTGGTTCTCCCGGATCGGAGTCAGCACTCCTAACCACGACACCAAACTGGCTCTCTATATAGGTCATATGATGGAGACATTGCCTCTTTTATTAGACGATAATAGCAGACCTATCCGTCTTTTAGCTGCAAAATTTTATGCATCTGTGATCGATTTTCTCAGTTGTTCAAATGGGGTCCAGCTCTTTCTGTGTTTCAGTAATCTGCTTAGAACTAGTAAGTTAAGAAACAGCATGAGGTAGAGAGAGAGCCGACACAAGCAAGTCCCGTTGCAACTTAGAGACAAGCAAGATTTTTTGTCACAGTGATAGGCACTTTGCTAAGTATCAATTGGATTTATTTCCACTGCCAGAGATAATATTAGGAGGAGGAGGAGATTGGATTTATACCCCGCCCTTCACTACCCAAGGGAGTCTCAGAGCATCTTACAAACTCCTTTCCCTTCCCCTCCCCACAACAGACACCCTGTGAGGTAGGCGGGGCTGAGAGAGCTCAGACAGAAATGCCTCTTTTTCAAGAACAGCTCTGACAGAACTATGGCTTGCCCAAGGTCATCCAGCAGCTGCAAGTGGAGGTGGAGTGGGGAATCAAACCCAATTCTCCCAGATTAGAGTCCGCGCACTTACACTACACTAAACTATCATTTGTTTCCCAAAGTTTGAAAGTTAATTCAAAATGTAACTCAATGAAATAGTTTATTATTCATTCATTCATTCGATTAATTAATTAATTAATACCCCACCTTCCCCCTGAAGCAGGCTCAGGGCAGCTCACACAGTTTGATACATAAATAACAGTTAAAATCCACATAAAACCATCTAAAAACAGTTCAGTTAAAAAAATTCAGTATCATAAACTGCTGGCGATAATTAATTATTGCTTAACGATGGCATACTATATGAGTGCATGCAAGGTCTAATGAAATGTCTCCCTGATATGTAAGTGACGGCGCAGGCTGTAGACATCAAAGCTCTATCATTGAGGTTGTTGGTGGTAATAGTGACGGCGGCTCCTTAGTTGAAGGCCTGGTGGAAGAGCTCCGTCTTGCAGGCCCTGCGGAACTGTAAAAGATCAGAGGATAGCCATGCTGGTCTACAGAAGAACAGCGAGATTCGAGTCTGTAGCGCCTTAGAGACCAACGAGGTTTTTGAGGTATCCGCTTTTAAGAGTCCACACTCTTGTTGTTGTGTTTGTTTGTTGTTGCTATAAAATAAAAAAATGTTTTTTAAAAAAAGAGTCCAAGCTCTCGCTGTATCTGATGAAGGGAGCCTTGACTCTTGAACGCTTATACATCAAAAGTCTTGTCGCTGTCTAAGATGCCGCTGAGCTCCAACTCTAGCTGTTCAAGGTGACAGAAATCCAAATTGACTTCATAAGGAATACATATATAAAATAATAACCTGACTGCATGCAGAGAAAGATCTAACGCCATCCCATTCTGTTGTGATCTGGGTTCTCTGCAGCAGCTTTCGAGTCTTTCCCCTGAGTAATCCCTTGTAACACTGACTGTGCATTTTGACAGCTCTCGCCAGCTTCCTAAATTCCATCACTGTTCACTTAACAGCAAGGCAAATACTGTACAGTTGATCACCAACTAATTTCTGTGCTTCGTTCTTTATCCAGTTATTTAATTATCAAAAATATTGTTCTGGACGACACAACTAATCAATGGTTACGCTTCTGCATTACAACCCAACCGGTTGGGTAATTTTCTCAAGTATCGTACGTTCACTCTCAAAGGTCGTTGTTCTCAAAACGAGGGGTGCTCATATGATACGAATCGAGGCCAAAGAGGGTTCATGAATTCGTTTTGTCCCTGTGAAATATGTCTTCCTTATGTGTTTATTTCGTTTTCGCGGAGGCTGTAAGTTGCCCATGGCTTTTTTTCTTGTTTTTAAATATTGCTGGTTAAGATCCGATTAGCTTAAACCACTCTGTGAGCTGTGCCCTTCCCCCAGCATGTCTGACTCGGAAAGTAACCCTTCCCTTGCCTGCTGTAATTGTGACTAAACATACATCTCTGAGCTCATCTAGAGATGTATCCCCCGAAGAATGCTCCGACCCCCTTCTTAGAATCCCCGGTACTAACCATGGCTTTGTCTGCATTTGTGCCCAGGTCATACGCCAGCCCTGGCTTGCGCTCCTAACAAAGACGTGGCTGACTGCCTGGCGCTCATTTTGGCTACCATGATGTCTTTTTCTCCTTCCAGTACAATGACGGCTCTCAACTTCGCTTGTTTTAAAAAAGACAATTTGAGCAGGACCCCGCTCTGCAATAGCTCCGATACGGGCAGCGCCATTAACTCCTACAGCAAACCGTTAAGAAACGATGTAGGAGCGGAAAACGGATACAATGAAAACGATTCCGATTCTGAAACGTTTTGACTTTTTAAGCATTCGATACCTTTTCCGTGGCCGCGTTGGGATTTAAATCAATGTTTTGCTCTTTAGAAGGTCCCAGGTCCCAGAATTATGGTTGACCTTCACTTATGGCTGGAATGACAACAAAATAAAAGGTTGAGAGCTGCAGGTTAACACAGCTTTTCAGGAAAGTAGAGGTTTTCCATTTCCACTGGAATGAATGCATTCTTCCACTATGTCATCCTTTCCACGGGCCCCTAAGCGCACCTGTGGAAGTTTCTACCTCCTATTTTATGCAGAAAGACAAAGCTGCCTTTTTCGTTTTTGACAGCACAAGTAAACAGGGAACTGCTGTGTATATATGCAGATATATATATATATATATATTCATGTGTTAGCTATAGTATACTGCTAATATGAATACATATTTCCAGTATGTTTTTCATAGTTCATAAGAACGCAAATTTGTCTTCACTTTTCTCATCTGTTTTATAGCTCGGTAGTCTCACTTTCTTAGGTAACTTTGTTATTATACAAACCAAAGGTACAATCACATTAGTGGGGGGGGGGAGCTATCGAAATCACCACTTTTCAATGGAAATTTAAACGTCCTCATTCTCCATGTATTAAGCACTTAAATACCACAAAAGGCACTTTTGAAAGACACTTAATCACATCTTCCATTTTATAGTTTGCAAATGTTTAGGACCAAATCCTGCTTGCCTGAGTCGCCAAACTTCCGCTCACTTCAAAGCGTTGCTTGGTCAGGCGGGCGTGGTTTGCCTTACCATTTAGTCTCCGGCACAAGCTTTTGCATGGTTTATTTGCACTCCGCAGTTCAGGGTCCCGGGGAGCTTGAATTTACCTGTGCTGTCAGCCAATGACCTATTCTCAGAGGGGGGGAAATCTGCTAGGAAACCGATCCTGTGCACGTACATGTTTTTGAGATTTGCCAATCTGAACGTAACTTTTTCTTTAAAAACTCTAGGATTTCTAAACCGAAATGTGTTTTTTAAAAACCTGGAACGCTGCCCAGTTTTAAACCTTTGCAAAATCTATATGAAATTCGTATTCTCTGTAATTACTATCGTTGTCCTAAGGTATACACAGCAGGTGAAACCAAAACATGCAAAGTGGAGAAAAGCCAAGCAGTGATGAGGAAGCGTGTAAAGGGGATTGTGATGTACTTACAAAGACCTGCTGGCATCTGCTCTCTTGTGTAACGTCTGCATTATGAATATATCTGCTCCTTCTGCCAAAGCTTCTAGGTCAAACGGACCCTGCCCCTCACCCGAGAAAGATGTACGGAAAGAAGAATAAGACTTTAAAATACAAAGAACTAACCAGATACTATATCAGGAGGACCAAAAGGCTTCAGTCTCTTATATGGGAAGACTTTTTATTATTATTTTTTAACAACGCAAGTGGAGGGGGGGGGAATCAATTAACTTTTCTAAACACACGCGCACACGAAGTGTTTTATGTAATGAAGAGTCTTGGCTGTGTTGTACACTTTGAGACACACATTTCTAGTAGACCTTTCGACATTTGTAACTGATGACGATGTGTTGATCACAGTTTTATTTTTCCAGACTAGAAAATGTTCCTACACTTTTAATGTTAAATGTGTTTATATTTATTTAAAATGAAGCAAGTGCCCAGGAAAAAAAAATAGATGACCATGGTTTGTTCTTCTCCTTCTTAGTTTTTGACAGCGTCTGTCTGTCTTCTTATTTCTGCATCCAGACAAGCCTAATAGCTTGAGTTGGACAGACGAAACGGGCACATGGCATAGCCGCCGTTCCAGTGCCGACACGGAAAGCTGGGTAGTAATGTGAAAGCAAAACTTCTGAGCGAGGCCACCTGGTACGGGGAGCTGTGGGTGCTTGCTTTGTGATGCAGTGGCACTCTCGCCAGACCAGAGGGGAGCAGCGTAGGAGGTTTGCGATGGATTGAACCCCTTGGTAAGGAAATGATGTTCAACGCTTGATAGCGCAAAACTAAAACAGGACTGTGAAGCTAGGAGAAAAGCCACCTCTCTGCCCTGCTGGAAGCTAGAATGTGTTCTAGATACATATTCCAATAAGACTGAAAAGGGAAAAAAAACCATTTCGGACAAGACTGCATTTTGGCAAATGCTCCTGAGTCTGACACAGATTGCCCGTCAAGCCCATCTCTTAGGTGTGGTTTCTCATGCTACGTTTTATGATTGGGTACAGAACTCATGCACTTAATACATGGGGGACTGCGTTCGCTATTAATGGTACAGGTGTGTATAAAATTGCCACTGTTCCCTTCTGTGCAGGACTGACCTTGTCCCCATTCGTCCTTACTTTGGCTTTTTTTTGGGGGGGGGGAAGCAGCAATTTATAGGCAAACGTGTATACCCTGCGCAGTTGACACAAGGCAAATATGTATTTTGTAGGAAATGTGTAGTGTGAGGGGTCTTCCTGAGTCATAGATCTGGTCCTCATCAAGATCGTGGACTCTAGGCCGTGAAAAGCTTCAATAAAACCAGTCCAGTGACCTTCGGCTTTTCCAGTCTCGGGGTCGACTTCCAGTGCCCTGGCCGCTGGAGCACCACGGGACTCACTGAGCTGCAAGCGCATTACAGGAAGTCAAGGGACATCAGAGTCTTATGGCAGGAAGAGGAAGAGCCAGGGTTGTGACCTCCCTGGTGAGGAGGAAGGTTCTGTGTGGCAGGCATCCATGGAACTTTGTAAGGGGTCTCTGAACCTTCCTGTGCTAAAAAGAATTCTCTCCGCTGCTGAGGGACCTTCCCTTTCCGTCCTGCTGGTTCTCTCCGTCTGTAAGGAAGGAGAGGCAGGAAGCACGGCAACTCACTCATGTGCTGTATTGAGGGTCGACAGGTCTTTCCTGGCAACCAGCGGGTGGTGGAGGGGACTCAATGGGAGCAGGAGGGAGGCCCAGCCGACATACAGTGACATGTCTCCGTCACTGCCCGCGCGACTCGGAAGTGACATCACCACTTCCGGGACATCGCGGTGACGCTCTGGTATTTGGGCAAAAACTCTGTGGTAAATTTGGCTTACACCATAGTTTTTGCCCAAATACCAGAGTGTCACCCACATGTCCCAGAAGTGATGACGTCACTTCCGAGTCACGCGGGCAACGACACTGGATCTCCCTCTTTTTCTGGGTGAGTTCCTCCCCGCTGGCCAGCTGATCAGTGGCGGAGAGGTGGAGCCTGGGAGCAGAGGAAACCCCCCCGCCTCCACCAGGGGATCTGGTAACCCCAGCGGTAGTAGCAGGTCCTTTCAAATGCAGCTAAAAATGGTAGCCCTAGAGGAGCATGTGACCCAGCACATATGGTTCCATAGCCCGCCAGAATTTTTCAACATACAGCTTGACCGATTTCCCACAAGCCACTGCTCCGCCCTCACTCTTCCCTTTCCCCTGATTGTATGCGTCAATTCCCCGCTATTTGCTGCATGGCCGCATTTTGACCCGCAGCTTCACCCGATTTCCCACGCGTCTTCTTGATCCTCAAAAAACAGGACCGAGAAGACACTGGGAAAATCGAGCGAAACTGCGGGTCAAAATGCGGCCGTGCAGCAAATAGTGGGAAATTGACAGATGCAATTGGGAGAAAGCGTAGAGCGAGGGCGGAGCAGCAGCTTGTGGGAAATCGGTCCTTGTCTTTAAGATGCCCCAAAACATTCTCTTGTTTTCAGAAAGAGGTGTGTGTGTGTGTGGGGGGGTATATGTGAATTTCCTGCATTGTGCAGGGGTTTGGACTAGATAACCATGGAGATCCCTTCCAACTCTATGATTCTATTCTATGATTCTAATGCTAGAAAAAGTGGAAGGCAGCAGGTAACGAGGAAGACCCAACACGAGATGGGTTGACTCAATCAAGGAAGCTACAGAAGTCCTCCGTTTGCAAGACCTGAGTGAGTCTGTGAATGATAGGACGTTTTGGAGGTCATTAATTCATAGGATTGTCATAAGACATAGGATTGTCATAGGACATGGTTTGATAGCACTTAACAGCTGCAGAGTGAATGTCCCTTTCAGGGGAGGTGGTAGCAACGTCCATCTAGACGGGTGAAGGTGCACACCGAAGGACTGGAAGCTACAGCATCAAATTCTGCAGGCGGCATAACAGAGGGACACATGTTGTTTTAGGTGCACTGATCACCTGTTGACAATACTCCATAGATCAGATCCATGTGACAGACTTTCATTTTCGTCAGAACAACAATGCAATCATAGATGTTTCGCACTTGTGAGAATATCTAAAACACTTAAGAGTAGCTAATAGCATATACGATGCATCAGGGGTCATGTCGTAGAAAAAGAGGTGCAGGAGCTCATTAGCATAACTTATTTGCATATGCCACACCCCCTGACATCACCGGAAGCGTGTCAGAAGGCAACACCCACCACTCAGGCTCCGCTGGACTGTTTTGGATTGCTAGCTATGGGGGGGGAACACATAGATCTGCCCTCACAGAGGAGGGAGAGCTTGTACCTGAAGGCGGGCCGGGGGGGGGGCTCTGCAACTTACCTGGCTGCTTCTTGCTCTTCGTGGCCCAACTGGGGCTGCTGGGAGCAGGGGGTGGGGCTTGTTGCATGTGCCCACCCCCTGGGCTCCTTAGTGCCAGAGCTCCACTCCTCTGCGCTCCCGCAGGAAATGGCCCCTGCTATGCATTAAGAGTAAGGCCCGAGAAGGACATACGTGACATGAGGAAGAAAAATTTAACTGACGGCCATCTAATTAACAGTCATAGTAACCCTATATACTGTATTTTGCCTGGCTATTGGGGGTCAAATGGGTGGGGATTGTGAAATGGGATATCTCGAAAGCTTGAAACCGAAGTGGAAAACCTCTTGGGCTACTGACTTGAAAGATTAAAATTTTCTTCTTTTTCTGTGTTGGCTACAATGGGGGAAATGAGCATCAAAATTGTGGCGTTTTCTCTTCATGCTGTGCTTTTTTTTTAAAAAAAGAGCCGAAACATACATTTTAGAAAATTGCTGAACAGCAATAATTAATACCCCGAGTAGAAATCCCTCACATTTCTACATTGAATTTTTTTAAAAAAACAAAAGAAAAAGCAGGGAATGTTGTTTCTTTACAGCAGATTAAATTGACTAAGTAGCCCTTGTTTACTGACTACAATCTTCCAGCGCTAGTTATTTTACAGTGCTGTCTCCTACCCGCATATTCCACAACTGGCTGGAAATACTTACAGGGCTGTTTGTTTTCTTGAAGACTGCGGTCATTCCTATGCATCCTTACTTGGAACTATATGGGACTTAACTTCTAAAAGCACATACTTAGGACTGGGCATGCCTTTCTTCCCGTGGAAAAATAAATAATGCTGCAAAAGAGGCCCTCGCAAACGAGTGGATTGCTTAGAATTCAGTGCAAAAGCCACAACCGTTAAATGACATATTTGCACTCAACTTCAGTGGGATCGTGATCTGCACCCCAAATGTTCTCTTAATCCAGGGGTCCCCAGCCTTTTTGAGACAGTGATCCCCTTTTAAATTTTTAAATAGGGCAGTGGCCGCAACGACAGTATGGCCACGTGGGAGGCGGAGCCAACCACACGCAGAGAGGAAGCCCAAGTTCAGGGTCTAAGAGGAGTAAATTTTAAAAACACACTGGGAGTCAGAGAGAGAATAAAACCGACAGTATACTGGCAACTGTCGCTGAGCCGTTATTTTAATCCGCACAGCCAATCAGATCTCAAATGGTCAATCAAAAGCCGTACTGGGCAGTACCCCACTTGGCCCCACCCCCTTTCTCAATATACTTGGCAGAGTCAGGAAAGGTGTCGGTGGGCAGCCACAGTGCCCCCCGCACCATGTTGGGGACCCCCTGTCTTAATCCAAATGGCAATATTGTTTTGTAGCAGACGAGGTACTGTTTCTAAATTATAGTATATACCAGGTTCGGTTGGTCTGCTTTGGTAAACCGTTTTCTTTATAGGTGGCTAAGCGCTCTTGTTCGTCGAAAGCCAGTAGGACTTGCTTTCATAGAAGTGTTCTTTAGGGCTGAGCAGCATGACCCCGCTAGTGAGTCGTAGTGCATGTGTTCCCTTTTAGACGCTCATTCCTGCCTTGGCGACTGGTTGTGAATTCGGTGGCAGAGTCGTAATGCATGGCACTTGACTGCTTGTTGGTTTCTCTTGTTCCGACTGTAAGATGAAATAGCTCAGGGGATTTCTGTTTATCACTGCTAAAAAAAGGGCACCCTGTTATGTTTGGTACTGCTTGCAGCAAAACTTCTGCTGTCTTGAACTATGAATTATAATAACCAATACATAAACATTCAGTCGTCGTCTTTTTTCCTGGTCTGTTCTTTATCAACTTGATCACATATCTGGGTTTCATTGTGTAAGAAACTTTTAGAGTGCCTTTTTATATTTGTGTATGCTGGGTTTGTATCGTATGTCTTTTCTTTCATTCGAGTGATACTGAAGCAATAGAATACCTGTACGTTTTCATTTCAAACCCTTATTTGAATGTGTGTGGTTTAAAAAAAACCAAAACATTCTACTTGTGTTAACATGAAAATGTTGAATTTGTATAGGAATTGTGCATACATTTTTGTAGTGCTGGGAACACTTTCTTATTACGCAAAGCAAACCTTGGGTCATTGTTATTGGGAAGGGTGTTTTAAAATGGTGACAATCTTGAGTGTGTATAAAATACAATTCTGTGGGTTTGTTATGCAGTGGATATACCTATTAAAAAGCCAATATCTAATGTTTTTTGTAGTTTTTGTCTTCATATTTTATGCTTTTAGCATGTGCAATATATCTTTACAAACCATGGTGATATGAATCTGGTGCCAGTGTTACATTTTGTATGAAATGTTTGTAATAAACAATATGAAATATTGTTGGAATGGTTTCAGTGGGTTTGTTGCTAACTTTTTAAATGTAAGCTGAAGTCTAACGACCTAACATTGAAGTTAAATGGTTGAACAAAATGGGAATGAGAGATTAATGTGGACCCCTGCCTGAATTTGTTCGAGCACAAGTTATCTTTTTCAACTACTGAATGCTGTATTAATTGTACTGGAGTATCCCAACTGCAAATGAATATGGAAATGCATTCAGATGGATATTTTTACAAATAAATGGTACAAGTATTTGTGGCAAAACTGGAGTCTCTTGTTTCTGTACTTCTGAATATATTCAGGTTTCTATATACTTGTGTACATCCTAAAATACATTCAAAAACAAAACTACTACATGTCTATGCATTTGCTCCTTCCTGTTAATTGTATGAACATAGGGAACATGTTTACTGAACGTACAACATGTTGGTTATGATTATTCAGTAAATGCATGGCTCTCTCACTATCTAATCAGTATTTTCCCTCTTTTCACTTAAGGCACTCAGATTTGGTTGAACTGGGATGTGTAAGTAATCACCACCTATTGGACAGTGTCTGTGCCATTAACTTGCTCTGCTGCTCACCTTACAATTTTGGAAGTAATTTTTTAAAAAAATATGTATTCAGTTACAAAGCAACATACATACGCCATATGACATCAATACAAGCTCAAGTCCTTTTTTCATGCATAAATATATAAATATTTACTACCTAGACTAATTCCGACTGCAAATATGTAGTTAATGGCAGGGCTATTTTTGGGCAGGAACGCACAGGAACGGAGTTCTGGTTGGCTTCAGAATTGGCCACGCCCACTACAGCCAAAACCTCTGCATGCGTGGCTACAGAGGGAAGGCCTGGAGAGCGACCCCCCCCCCGGTGACTCCAAGGCAGGGCCCCCCTGAAAGGATCGGGGAGGCATTCCTCTGCCTGTCCTAGGGCCGACTTGCCCGGGCACGCCAAGGGAAAGCAGGGGGTGTGGCCTAATATGCTAATGAGTTTCTGATGTTGGGTGTGACCTATTATGCTAATGAGTTCCTGCTGGGCTTTTTCTACAAAAAAAGCCCTGGTTAATGGAAACCAGCTTTGATCCATGTATACAGTGTGCCCAATGTGTTGAAGAGCGTTCAGCTTAATCCAGGGGTTGTTTCATAGAAAAAGAGCTAGGGGAACTCATTAGCATAACTCATTAGCATATGCCACACACCCTGACATCAGGGGCCCGGCGGTGGACCTGCAAGGCCGGCAGGAGTGCGAGGAAGCCCCGCCAAGGCCCTCCCTGGCCCCAGGCAGGCAGGGGTGGGGAGAGGCGTGGAGGAAGCAACTTACCCTCCCTCTTCTCCTGCCTCCTCCTGGCTGAATGAGGGCCGGAAGCGGGGCGGCCGGAAGCAGGGGGCGGGTTAGGGTTAGGGGAACTGCGATCCCCCGCGATCCCCCCCCCGAATCGACCTTAATCGCTTCCACTGTGTTCCACACCTTCAGTGACCGTTCATGCTCACTGAGAAAGTGTTTGGTCTTCCGGGGTCTTCCAAAAACTGTTCCCACTACCATTAGCATCTTTAGTATTATTTTTCTATGTGGGTTCCCCTATTTAGTACAGCTTGGCTGCCCGCCATCATGGCAGGTGGCCATCACAGAGAGATGGGGACTTTAGAGGGAGAATGTGTAGAGGGCTGAGGCCTAAGTTGGGTGGGGCCTCCTGCTATACACAGAATTTTGTTTCTCTGTTTTTAACCACCTTGTTGCCCCAGGCTAGCCTGATCTCATCAGATCTGGGAAGCGAAGCAGGGTCAGCCTTGGCTAGTTTTGGGGTGGGAGACCTCCAAGGAATACCAGGGTCGTGATGTAGAGGCAGGTGATGGCAAATCACCTCTGAAACATCTTTCGCCTAAGAAGTCTAGCTCACCACCCAGTGCAGGGGTGTCAAACATGCGGCCCGGGGGCCGGATCAGGCCCCCGGAAGGTTTCCATCAGGCCCGCAATGGAACTGGCTATCTCCTGCTTCCAGTTCTGCTGCTGCATCATAGCTTGCTTCGCCAGACTCTCTCAATCGCTCAGCTGTTTCATGTTTTAACCTGGGTCCTACACTCAGAACTCTGAGCATGGGATTTCTGTGGCGAATGTCAATCAATCAAAAGTAGGTTCGCAGCTCACAGACACAGAAATGGCTGTCTCCTGCTTCTTCCACTTCTGCTGCTGCTGCGTCATCGTAGGTTTGCAGCTTACAGATACACACCTGAACAGCATGCTCGAGATTGCAACAGCACAGACATTTTGATCAGAGGTCATTTCGGGGGGAATCGCGGGGGATCGCAGTTCCCCCGGGTGAGGTACGGGGGGCGGGGCACATGACGAAGCCCTGCCCCCTGCTTCCGGCCGCCCCGCTTCCAGCCCTCATTCAGCCAGGAGGAGGCGGGAGAAGAGGGAGGGTAAGTTGCTTCCTCCCTGCCTCTCCCCACCCCTGCCTGCCTGGGGCCAGGGAGGGCCTTCGCGGGACTTCCTTGCACTCCGGCCGGCCTTGCAGGTCCTTATGACACACTTCCGGTGATGTCAGGGGGTGTGGCATATGCTAATGAGTTATGCTAATGAGTTCCCCTAGCTCTTTTTCTACGAAACGACCCCTGATTTTGATGTAATAATTCAGAGCAAGAGGTGTCAGTTATCAGACACTGCTAAATACTCCACTTTGGATCCAGCGCCGGGGGCAATCCCTGGTGCTCCCTGCGAGTTGCCATAGCGCAGGGGACTGGATCAAGCCCCTAGCAACCCACTACTCCTTTCCCCAGGAGAGTAGGGGGTCTCTGAACCATCGAAAGACCCTTTAAACGAACTTGGAAGTGACCCAACACTCTTCGAGCACTCTGTCGCAAGAGTGCTAATGTTCTAAGCATGTTTTTATTTTAAGTAAAAAAAAAACTTTGTGTTTGTGTCATTTATTTATTTATTATTTTTATTTATACCCTGCCCTCCCCGCAAGCAGGCTCAGGGCGGCTTACAGTAATTGGTACCCTGTACAGCGCTGGCTCTTTGGCTTTGAAACAGAGATGAGCACCGCAACCCTAGAGTCGGACTCGACTGGCTTTCGAGCAAGGGAACCTTTACCTTTACGTTATTACCATAAAAACCATGTACAAAATTTAAACAACTTACAACAACAACATTAAGCATTAAAATCAGTCCAACAATTAACAATTAAAGCGCTGGTGAGGGTACTCTTTGATGGTAATCATTGCATGATTCAGATGGCGTACTAATAATTTTTATCGGCCTCGATGGTCTTCAGCTTGGTGCGATAGTATAACGCAAACCCTCCCCAGGCCCAGAGCCAACCCAAAGCCACGGATGTTGGTGGTGGTGGAGGAGGAATGGCGGCTCCTAATTGAAAGCATGGTGGAAGACTTTACAAAGTTTATGCCTCTGCTACCTGGCATTACATTTCATGACACACATAGCCCGGCCCAACAAGGTCTCATTTATGTCAGATCTGGCCCTCATAACAAATGAGTTCAACACCCCTGACCTAGTGAATCATAGAATCAGAGTGGGAAGGGTCCATAGAGGCCATCTAATCCAACCCCCACTCAATGCAGGATCAGCCTAGAGCATCCCTGACAAGTATATAAAATGCCATACAGTCCACCCTCCAAAGTATCCAACAAGGCTCCGAAGAGAGCCGTTGGAATCCCGGGAGAGCGCCAGGCCCCACCTGGAGCTTAAGAATACAACAAGAGGACCACGGTGTAAATGGTAGAAAATATTAACACTAAAGCGCCGTATAATAAACGGTAATAGACTCTTAAATGATCTGATTTTTTTTTCCTTCCAGTGTATTGGTATTGATAATGCTGATTTATTAGTAGTAAAGTTAAAGGTTTCCCTTGCTCGAAAGCCAGTCGAATCCAACTCTAGGGGTGCGGTGCTCTTCTCCGTTTCCAATAGGGTTGCCAAGTCAGATCGGCGCTGGAGCGGAGGACTCCAGTGCCGCTCTGGGAGTGCTCGTGTGCGCCGCAACCCCGTCACCCAGAAGTGACGCGACCACGCCGGGCACGCTGGGGGCGGGGCCACGACCATCCAAGGGAAAACCATAGAGTTTTCCCTTGGATGACCGTAGCCCCGTCCCCAATGTGCCCGACGCGATCGCGTCACCTCTGGGCAACGTGCACATTGCGTGCTTTGGGGGTGGGGTTTCCCCCGGAGCCCGAGCCACCACCGGCGGATAACGGGCCTCTGGGGCGGGGGTTTCCCCGCCCCCCTGGGGGACTTGGCAAGCCTAGTTTCCAAGCCGAAGAGCCAGCGCTGTCAGGAGACGTTTCCGTGGTCATGTGGCCAGCATGACTAGACGCCGAGGCACACAGAACGCTGTTGCCTTCCCACCGAAGCGGTACCTATTTATCTACTTGCAATTTCTTGCTTTCGAACTGCTAGGCTGGCAGGAGCTGGGACCAGAGATGGAAGCTCACTCCATCATGCGGCACTCGGGTCTCAAACTGCTGAACTACTGACCTTCCGGTCTGCAGTTCAGTGTCTTAACCACTTGAGCCACCGCAGCCTGATTTATGATTACACAATCACAATACCTACAATAGTAAATTGAATACAAGACATTTAAAAATTTTTAGGATCCTGTATCTCTTGTATTCTGTAAGACCTGAGGAAGGCAGCAGCAACGAGTCAACGCCAGCTCTCCTTATCTTACTAATTTTCTGCATCTTCAATTTGTTTAGACTTTCGCGTCAACCTATAACCCTTTGGGGCAAACATTGCACTTTTGAGAGAGAGAGAGAAAAACACATTTCTTGAATGTCTTGTATTTCATTTACTTCGTAATTACTGTGATTGTGTAATAATAAATCAGCATTATGAATATCAATATATAGGAAGGGGGGGAACCAATCCCCCCGAGTTGATTTAAGACTATATCACTGTTCATTACACGGTGCTTTAGCATTAATATTTTCTCCCACTTGGAGGCTGGCAACCAGTGTTCCCTCTAAGCTGAGTGAGTGTGAGCTAGCTCACAGTTTTTTAGCCTCCGGCTCACACATTTTTGTCTTAGTTTAGGAAGGAGAGCTCCAGAGCAAATGAAGTTATGCTGTGGCCAATTATGCTCAGTTATAGTTGTACAGCTTCATTAGCAATGCATGTGAGTAGTGAAATCCCGTAGGATTTCAGGCGGGGAGTGTGCTGCCCCCAGTCAGCATTATCTGTAGTTTAGTAAAACTGCGCTGTATCTTTAAGCCTTGTTGCACCTGGGAATTGGAGTCCACAGTTAGGGGTCCCAGAAGCTTCCCTCTGACTGGCTCATTAAGAGCAATTTCCTGAGCTCAGAGGCGCAAAGATAGGAGTTTTATTGTTCTTTTCCGTTTTCTTTGTCCATCAACCCTTACTGCAAGGAGAGGAGAAGTCTGTCTCTTTCTCACCGCGGCTATTGAACTAACCTAGATCACAAGATGTAACTTTCCACCCAGCCATCTGAACGATTGTGAGTAAATGGTGTTCTGGGGAGGGCGGGGTATAAATATGAAAAATAAATACATAAAATATTCTGAATGCGTGTGAAGTTGAATAAAGACGATTTAAGCTCTCCTCAGTAGTCCTGCCGTTGACTCACACCTAGAAAGTGCTGGCTTAGCACAGCTTGCACTGGATAGGACACCCCCTGTGAGGTAGAAGAAGAAGAAGAGATTGGATTTATACCCCGCTCTTCACTACCCAAGGGCAGGGCTATTTTTGGGCAGGGACACAGGAACGGAGTTCCGGCTGGCTCCCAAGTTGGCCACGTCCAGCAGGAACTCATTAGCATAATAGGCCACACCCAACAGCAGAAACTCATTCGGATTGGCTACATTAGGGGGTGTGTGGCCTAACATGCAAAGGAGTTCCTGCTACAAAAACAAGCCCTGGGTTTTGACCACAAACAAGGTAAACAGAAGAAGAAGCAAAAGGTGGGTGTGGCTGGATGACCACACTTCTGGTAACATGGGGGTGCGGCCTAATGTGCTAGCGAGCTGTGCTGGCAGGGGTGTGGCCTAATAGGCGAATGAGTTCCTGCTGTTGGGTGTGGCCTATTATGCTAATGAGTTCCTGCTGGGCTTTTTCTACAAAAAGAGCCCTGCGGCTTACAGAGTCCTTTCCCGTCCCCTCCCCACAACAGACACCTGGTGAGGTGGGTGGGGCTGAGAACTCTGACAGAGCTACCGCTTGCCCAAGGTCATCCGTCTGGCAGGTGCAAGTGGAGGAGTGGGGAATCGAACCGGGTTCTCCCAGATAAGAGTCCCCCACGAGCACCAAACTGGCGCACTTAACCACAACGCCCAGAAGCAGCAGAAGGCAGCCAGTTCAACTGCGGGCCTGACAGAAGG